ATCTGCAAATTTTATAAGCATATTATCCACCCCATTATCCAAGTCATCAATGAAAATGTTGACTAGGACTAGACCCAGGACCGACCCCTGTGGGACCCTGCTACAGTTATAGCATAACATGCTGATCCAGACTCATCAAATGGTAACAGGCAGATATTGTTAATTGCATTTCTACCAGTTATTAATCTACTTCAGATTCTGACAAATAGATGTAATGATAATTTAATTTATTTTACTTTTTTATATTTTTGCAGTGTATACATTTTGCATTACATATTCCTTAGTTATCTTATTTAAGAATATAATGAAAGTAACAGGAACATGTAACACAAGACATGTGGCACTTTTATAAAAAAACCCCTATTTTAAACCTTGAGTACCTTAATTTTTTGTTGAAGAGACTTAATTTCCATTTGTAAGTTCTTTGTGATTGTCCGAGCTGCTATAGTCTTTCTATTCTCAGCTGCCAATTGACGACTAAAGATGTTACTGTTCAACGTCAGCTGTTTTTCTAAGCCCTAGAAACATTACATATTTAACCATGTAGATATACTCACTGTAACAGCTGAAGAATTTCAATTCACATCAGGTTTAAAAAATAAGCAGAGTAACATAATGAAAAATGAAACTTCTAATAATCATATTCTACTGTAAATAAAATCTGAAATTAGAAGTTTGTAATAAAACAAAAATGCAGTGTATCCATTTACATCTAAAATTAACAAAAAGCTGGTTACCAAACAAAATGAATATATAGGTATTCAAAAATTAAAAATAACTCAATATACTAAATTCCTAATGTGTTAATCCAGTACAGTCTTTTTTTGGGAGATCATCAGGACCTGATTCTCATTTACATTAAGGCCCCTTTACACCACTCTGGCAGTATAAATGAGAATCAGGTCCTGTATCATTTAGAATCCAGGGGATAAACTGTAATTGCCATTGTGTCAGTATCAAAATTATAAGCTAAGCACCCAATCCTGCAAAGTCTCCATGAGCAAGACTTTCTACTGATTCTCAACGGGGGTCCTACAAATGAACAGCTTTCAGAATGGCAGCTGAGTTCAGTTATTCTTCTGATAGAGTAGAAATGAATTTCTGGAGGGTAAATGGAAGACTTCACTGTTCTGAGATTTTATTAAAAATCGGAGATGGAGGCTTTCCCCATAAAGACAATGAGAGTAAAGAAGTATGAGACATTAAAGGCACGGAATCCTCTTTATTTTCTCTCATCCTATGCCTTTATTACACGCTCTCAGGGACATTATTTTTAACAGTTCTGTACGCCATTACTTTTTGATTAAAATATTTGTGTTTGATACTGTTATGAATTCAAATTTGAATGATCTACATCTAAATTGGAAGGAGTAAAAGTAAAGATATCCATGAAGCACTTTAGGCCCCTAAACTCCAGAGTTAGGCCCCTAAATCCCCATGTGTGGCAGCACTGCAATCCACAAAACTTCTGCTTGGCCGCTGCCTAACCCTGTAGGCACCTAAACTCACTCGGCGCTTAACTTTCCACTGTAAAAGTTCTCTAGGTGCCTAAGTTTTAGACTCTGGGACATGCCCACCACTGCCCCACTCTGGGAGTCCAGATGCCTCCCTCCCACCTAAGCCCAGAGTGATTAATGAACTGGGGGAAGATAGGCACTGGGCTGCCTAAATTGCATATGGGGCTTGATCCAGTAGGTGCCTTCCCTTCCAGACTGGGTCCCATTCAAAATCCATTGGAAGAGGAAGGAGTGGTACCCACCTTATAACTTTTAGTCCAGTGGTTAGAACACTCCCCTGGGATGTGGGAAATGCAGGTTCAATTCCCCCCTCTCTGCCAGAGGGTGAGAAAGGACTTGAGCAGGGGAATCTCCTGTTTCTCAGGAGGGTTCTCCAACCACTGAACTACAGGATATTCTGATGTGGGGCTCCCTCAATCTCTCCTGCTGAAGCTGTTCCTTTGTGGATAAATAATGAAGGAGTGAATGGAGGAGGGGTTATTGGACTTGGGGGTCTCCCATGTGGGTGCTCTAACCACCAGCCTACAAAGTCATTCTCACTCTCTCTCTCTCTCTCTCTAATCCAATGACTGCTTGTGTGTGTGTTAGGGTACCCATATGGGAGACCCCAGGCCCATTCACTCTTTCATTATTTAATCCACAATGAAACAGCTTCAAAGGAGAGATTGAGGGATCCCCATATCAGAATATCCCACGGCTCAGTAGTTAAGAGCATAAGGTGAGTGTTCTAAGCACAGAGCTAAAGTTATATGGTGGGCACCACCACCACCTCCTACTCCTCCGGTGGCCATTTTGTGTGGTGTGAGGCAGGTGCACAACTCATTCCTTCAAGAAGGGCCTAGGTCACCTGACATTATGTGCCTGGTTCCCATTTGTGGATCACTAAACAGACCTAGGCACCTCCCTGAAGCCCCGATTTAGGTGCCTATCTCAGAGAGAGATTGGGGCTCAGCAAACCCCTCTCATCAGCATCTTCCTTGGGTAGCTTAGCTGGCTCCCTGTCTAGTGTGTTGGCTTTCTAAGTTGCCTATCTCTCCCCGTTCATTGTATAGGAGCCTAGGCACCAAATTCAGGCTTTGTGATCAAAATAAATTTGTTTGTCGCTAAGGTGCCACAAGTACTCCTTTTTAGTGTTTTTTCTGTGATTTTCTAGGCGCCTAAAAGTTGGGCATTGTGATGCTTGGTGTTTCAACCCCTAAGACCCTGGGAACACTGCAAAGGCAGTTTGCCCAACCCTTGGGGGTAAGGAAGGAACATCCTCCATAGCTCTCTAGCAGCCTCCTACAAGAGCAGTGTTAGCCCTGGTCTACACTAGGAATTTAGATTGAATTTAGCAGCGTTAAATCGATGTAAACCTGCACCCGTCCACACGATGAAGCCCTTTATTTCGACTTAAAGGGCTCTTAAAATCGATTTCCTTACTCCACCCCTGACAAGTGGATTAGCGCTTAAATCGGCCTTGCCGGGTCGAATTTGGGGTACTGTGGACACAATTCGACGGTATTGGCCTCCGGGAGCTATCCCAGAGTGCTCCATTGTGACCGCTTGGACAGCACTCTCAACTCAGATGCACTGGCCAGGTAGACAGGAAAAGAACCGCGAACTTTTTAATCTCATTTCCTGTTTGGCCAGTGTGGCAAGCTGCAGGTGACCATGCAGAGCTCATCAGCAGAGGTGACCATGATGGAGTCCCAGAATCGCAAAAGAGCTCCAGCATGGACTGAACGGGAGGTACGGGATCTGATCGCTGTATGGGAAGAGGAATCCGTGCTATCAGAACTCCGTTCCAGTTTTCGAAATGCCAAAACCTTTGTCAAAATCTCCCAGGGCATGAAGGACAGAGGCCATAACAGGGACCCGAAGCAGTGCTGCGTGAAACTTAAGGAGCTGAGGCAAGCATACCAGAAAACCAGAGAGGCGAACGGCCGCTCCGGGTCAGAGCCCCAAACATGCCACTTCTGTGATGAGCTGCATGCCATTTTAGGGGGTTCAGCCACCACTACCCCAGCCATGTTGTTTGACTCCTTCAATGGAGATGGAGGCAACACGGAAGCAGGTTTTGGGGACGAAGAAGATGATGATGATGAGGAGGAGGTTGTAGATAGCTCACAGCAAGCAAGCGGAGAAACCTGTTTTCCCGACAGCCAGGAACTGTTTCTCACCCTGGACCTGGAGCCAGTACCCCCCCGAACCCACCCAAGGCTGCTTCCTGGACCCGGCAGGCAGAGAAGGGACCTCCGGTGAGTGTACCTTTTAAAATACTATACGTGGTTTAAAAGCAAGCATGTGAAAGGATTACTTTGCCCTGGCATTTGCGGCTCTCCTGGATGTTCTCCCAAAGCCTTTGCAAAAGGTTTCTGGGGAGGGCAGCCTTATTGCGTCCTCCATGGTAGGACACTTTACCACTCCAGGCCAGTAACACGTACTCGGGAATCCTTGTACAACAAAGCATTGCAGTGTATGTTTGCTGGCGTTCAAACAACATCCGTTCTTTATCTCTCTGTGTTATCCTCAGGAGAGTGAGATATCATTCATGGTCACCTGGTTGAAACAGGGTGCTTTTCTTCAGGGGACACTCAGAGGAGCCCGTTCCTGCTAGGCTGCTTACCTGTGGCTGAACAGAAATGTTCCCCGCTGTTAGCCACGGGGAGGGGGGAGGGTTGAGGGGGTAGCCACGCGGTAGGGGGAGGCAAAATGCGACCTTGTAATGAAAGCACATGTGCTATGTATGTAATGTTAACAGCAAGGTTTACCCTGAAAGAGTGTAGCCACTGTTTTATAAAATGTGTCTTTTTAAATACCGCTGTCCCTTTTTTTTCTCCACCAGCTGTATGTGTTTCAATGATCACAGGATCTTCTCCTTCCCAGAGGCTAGTGAAGATTAGAAAGAAAAAAAACGCACTCGTGATGAAATGTTCTCTGAGCTCATGCTGTCCTCCCACACTGACAGAGCACAGACGAATGCGTGGAGGCAAATAATGTCAGAGTGCAGGAAAGCACAAAATGACCGGGAGGAGAGGTGGTGGGCTGAAGAGAGTAAGTGACGGGCTGAAGAGAGTAAGTGGCGGGCTGAAGACAGGGCTGAAGCTCAAATGTGGCGGCAGCGTGATGAGAGGAGGCAGGATTCAATGCTGAGGCTGCTGGAGGACCAAACCAGTATGCTCCACTGTATGATTGAGCTGCAGCAAAGGCAGCTGGAGCACAGACTGCCACTACAGCCCCTGTGTAACCAACCGCCCTCCTCCCCAAGTTCCATAGCCTCCACACCCAGACGCCCAAGAACGCGGTGGGGGGGCCACTGGCCAACCAGCCACTCCGCCACAGAGGATTGCCCCAAAAAAAGAAGGCTGGCATTCAATTTTAAAGTTGTAAACTTTTAAAGTGCTGTGTGGCATTTTCCTTCCCTCCTCCACCACCCTTCCTGGGCTACCTTGGTAGTCATCCCCCTATTTGTGTGATGAATGAATAAAAAATGCATGAATGTGAAGCAACAATGACTTTATTGCCTCTGCAAGCAATGATTAAAGGGAGGAGGGGAGGGTGGTTAGCCTGCAGGGAAGTAGAGTGAACCAAGGGGCGTGGCGTTTCATCAAGGAGAAACAAAGAGAACTTTCACACCGTAGCCTGGCCAGTCATGAAAGCTTCTCTGATGCGTACCGCGCCCTCCTGTGCTCTTCTAACCACCCTGGTGTCTGGCTGCGCGTAACCAGCAGCCAGGCGATTTGCCTCAACCTCCCACCCTGCCATAAACGTCTCCCCCTTACTCTCACAGATATTGTGGAGCGCACAGCAAGCAGTAATAACAGTGGGAATATTGATTTCGCTGAGGTCTAAGCGAGTCAGTAAACTGCGCCAGCGCGCCTTTAAACGTCCAAATGCACATTCTACCACCATTCTGCACTTGCTCAGCCTGTAGTTGAACAGCTCCTGACTACTGTCCAGGCTGCCTGTGTATGGCTTCATGAGCCATGACATTAAGGGGTAGGCTGGGTCCCCAAGGATACATATAGGCATTTTAAGGTCCCCAACAGTTATTTTCTGGTCTGGGAATAAAGTCCCTTCCTGCAGCTTTTGAAACAGACCAGAGTTCCTGAAGATGCGAGCGTCATGTACCTTTCCCGGCCATCCCACGTTGATGTTGGTGAAACGTCCCTTGTGATCCACCAGAGCTTGCAGCACTACTGAAAAGTACCCTTTGCGGTTTATATACTCGCCGGCTTGGTGCTCCGGTGCCAAGATTGGGATATGGGTTCTGTCTATGGCCCCACCACAGTTAGGGAATCCCATTGCAGCAAAGCCATCCACTATGACCTGCACATTTCCCAGGGTCACTACCCTTGATATCAGCAGATCTTTGATTGCGTGGGCTACTTGCATCACAGCAGCCCCCACAGTAGATTTGCCCACTCCAAATTGATTCCCAACTGACCGGTAGCTGTCTGGTGTTGCAAGCTTCCACGGGGCTATCGCCACTCGCTTCTCAACTGTGAGGGCTGCTCTCATCTTGGTATTCATGCGCTTCAGGGCAGGGGAAAGCAAGTCACAAAGTTCCATGAAAGTGCCCCTACGCATGCAAAAGTTTCGCAGCCACTGGGAATCGTCCCAGACCTGCAACGCTATGCAGTCCCACCAGTCTGTACTTGTTTCCCGAGCCCAGAATCGGCGTTCCACAGCATGAACCTGCCCCATTAGCACCATTATGCATGCATTGGAAGGGCCCATGCTTTCAGAGAAATCTGTGTCCATGTCCTGATCACTCACGTGACCGCGCTGACGTCGCCTACTCGCCCGGTATCGCTCTGCCAGGTTCTGGTGCTGCATATACTGCTGGATAATGCGTGTGGTGTTTAATGTGCTCCTAATTGCCAAAGTGAGCTGAGCGGCCTCCATGCTTGCCTTGGTATTGCATCCGCACAGAAAAAAGGTGCGGAACGATTGTCTGCCGTTGCTCTGACGGAGGGAGGGGCGACTGACGACATGGCTTACAGGGTTGGCTTCAGGGAGCTAAAATCAACAAAGGGGGTGGCTTTACATCAAGGAGTATTTCAGGCAGGACTTCACGGAGGGTTCCAATAAGAAATGGTGCATCTAAGTTATTGTTCTTATTGGAACATTGAGGTTAGTCTGGCCTCTGATTGATACATGGCTAGATTTACCTTGCTGCACCTTCTCTGTGAGTGACTGCAGTGTGACCTAGAGGAATGAGTCCCCTAGACAGGGGAGGGGGGGAAGCAAATGAGTACAAAACAAATCTGGTCTATTTCTTGTTTTGATCCACTCCATCTATCTTTTACATCTTTGGCTGGCAGCAGACGGTGCAGAAGGACTGCAAGCCATCCACATCTCATGGCTGCTCGGCAGAAGATGGTACAATCGGACTGCTAGCCATCCTCATCTCTTGCCTGCCCGGCAGAAGATGGTACAGTACGACTGCTAGCAATCCGTATCGCCTGCCTGCTCACCATAAGACGGTTCAATAGGACTGACTGCAGGACTAAAGAGAATGACCTGGTCAAGTCACTCCAAACTTAGTCCCTGCGCCCATGTCTGTCCAGGCGCTCCCGGCCGACGCGGCCAGGAGCACCTCGGACATGACGATGACGGCTACCAGTCATATTGCACCGTCTGCTGCCAGAAGGCAATGGGTTGCTGCTACTGTGTAGCAATGCAGTACCGTGTCTGCCAGCACCCAGGAGACATAGGGTGACGGTTACCTGAGCGGGCTCCATGCTTGCCGTGGTATGGCGTCTGCACAGGTAACTCAGGAAAAAAGGCGCGAAACGATTGTCTGCCCTTGCTTTCACGGAGGGAGGGAGGGAACGGGGGCCTGACGATATGTACCCAGACAATGTTTTAGCCCCATCAGGCATTGGGATCTCAACCCAGAATTCCAATGGGCAGCGGAGACTGCGGGAACTGTGGGATAGCCACCCACAGTGCAAAACTCCGGAAGTTGACGCTAGCCTCGGTACTGTGGAAGCACTCCGCCGAGTTACTGCACTTAATGTACTTAGAGCATTTTCTGTGGGGACACACACACTCGAATATATAAAACCAATTTCTAAAAACCTGACTTCTATAAATTCGACCTGATTTCGTAGTGTAGACATACCCTTAGTGAGCTTCAGAAAGAACGATATACAAGCTTGTCCACAGGAGACAGGTCGCTGTAGTGCAGAGGGGGAGAGGCATCAAAGGTGGGCAGATAGGGGATCATGTTAGCTCTGAGGTAAGTTTTAGGGGATCGCCACACCCAGAAATAAGGGGGAAATAGTGTTATGAATTTATGAGGCAATTGTTTTTCTATTCTTCCCAATGGCTACTCTCCCAATTCTCATTTTACTGAGAATTATTTATTATTTCTTCATGCTTCACCTCCCTCCATTTCCTTCTGGAAGAATATTGCATCCTAACAAGGGTGCTGTCTACTTAAATGTTGGCAACGTTGTTTTTATTAGTTTTGGTCAAATACCCTTAGATATCACAATGACGGTCACAATATAAATTAATTAAATATTAACTCTGCCAAAAAAAAACCCTTGAAATAAATAATAATATTAGCACTTATACTGCATGTTTCATACAAGAATTTCAAAGCACTTCAGATATATTCATTGATAAAGCCTCACATCACCCTCCTTTAATGCTGTCCATCCTTTTAACAGAAGGATAACCTAAGGCTCAAATAAATTCAGTCTTTTCCCTAGTGCCAAGTATCAGATCAGTGGTAGACCTAAGACTAGGACTTCTGACTCATGCTTAATTCACTAGTCAACAGCTGCAATATGTTTGACTACACCTGTACTAAGGAGTGAATGGGAGACTTGGAGACAGCTCTCCAGTAGTATGTCATATTTTTAAAGGTAATAGGGCAACAGTTTGACTAATCTTTATTTCCAAGTTTAATTCATTGATACATTTTTGCAAGATTTTATTAAAGTTATGGGTAATTCATTCATAATATCACTAAACTTTGGAAAACTTTGGATTAAAACAAATGGCTCTGAATTTCTGTGTTGTTATCTTGCACTATAAATATTCATTTTATATGCATTGATTAATAATCTTGCATTATTCTTTCACAAAAATGTTTCCTATTATAGTTCTAAAAATACAAGGACATGTTCCATATTACCTGTATTCTCTTATCATTGGCTTCCATTCTTTCTGTAAGGATTGATAATCTATGAGTAAGTTCCCCTCTCTCTGCAAGATTCGTGTCTTCTGAAAGTTTCTGCAATACTTGCAAGGCATCTTTAGTCTTTAACAGCTCTGCTTCAACTTCTCTAAGCTTCCTGGATGTATTTCGCTCCTGTTCCTGAGACTTCCTAAGGAGTCCCCTTAGAGATCTTACCTCACTATAATGTTTTGCTATAATATCAGGCAAGTTATTCTCTGCATTTTCATATTTACCTATTGCTTTCAAGTGCCGATACTGAAGCTGTTTCAGAAGCTGGTTTTCTAAGTTTGATGCTGCCAGTTTATGCTGGAGGTCAGACAGTTCATTTTTCAGTTCTTTAATTTTGTGAAGTCTTGCAGATAATATACGTTGAGCCGTAGCATCTTTTTTCTGGGAAATCATATTATTCTGAGTACTTAAAAATGAAGTATTCTGGAATTGCATCTTCTTAGGTGGCAACTTCTTGCCTCCTGCATTCAGACCAAAACAAACTAATAGTGACTTACATATCATTTAATGGTACAGAAAGCAAAATCAGTACATATCTTTACTCATAACTAGTTATCCTAAGCTACTTAAAGGCAGTATGTATCGCACAGAGTTCAAAATCTGTACTAAAATTTCACTGTTCAAATATTTTGTGCTGATACATCTATAGCATGGATTTTTCCTGGCAGCATTTGGCCACAACTAAAGCCAGGTCCATATGAGGTCCAAAGGTTCCCTCACTTCCTCATTCTATTGACCACTGTCTTCCTGCAGGAACCATCTTCACTCTAGATAGCCTTAGTGTTAATATTCCAGCAACAGCTTTCTCTGAGACAAATTAGGCTTTCTCTGGGGCTGGTAGGATGTGCTTACAGAACAGTCTCCCCAGCGCCACCTAAAATAAAGTTTGTCTCTGAGTAATTTATTGAAGTCAGTGTGTGTTTTGTCAGAGGATTAGGTTGTACGGGCCTGATCCAATTCCCTATGGAAAGACTCCCAATGACTTCAGTGGAGTTGGATATGGCCCTAGATTAGGAAAATTCAATTCATGATGAAGAAGGAAGAAAACAATAACTTACTGCAAAAATTCAGAAAACAAAGTGATGGTAATAACACATTTCCTAACACACCTGCATCTAGGAATTCTGTACCAATTGTATCACTTTAAAACCATTTTTTGATTTGAACTAAATAAAAAATAGCTTAGAAACACATATGTAGTGTTGTTTAAATTATCAGGCATTTAGAATAGTTATACAGTTTTCCATTCTATATACTGTATTTGATAAATATTCTTGACAGCCTGAAATTCTAAGGGTACCACTACTAAGCATCAATGTCCCTTTCTGAAGTATAACTGAAAATTTAAAGGGTTGGGACTATAAGTCTGACTGTTTTCCTTGCTTTTATGCATACATTCAATTTCATAGTAACTCTAAGGCATTCCAGGAAGTGCATTTCTAGAGAATTAGTATTATAATTTATATAGCACCCAAAATCTCCTAGCCATTTTAAAGATAAATATGCATTCAGGGTCCCTGCCTTGAACAGCTGGCAATCTAAGAGCCAGGTCCTGTTAAGCACCCCTGTTGAACTCAGTGGGAGTTCTGGATATGAACTATTTACAAGAACAGGCTTTAAGTAGAAAACATAATAGATTCACGGATTCCAGGGCCAGCCCACAACATTTTGGCACTTGAGGTGGCGAGCTCAAATGACGCCCCCATGCCCCCTCACTTGGGCCAAAACTCTGAAACTCTGGGTCCTATTGGCCCCCCCCACAGTCTAGCACCTGAGGCGCTGCAGTTCACCTCATGGTAAGGCCAGACCTGACGGATTCATAGATTCCAAGGCCAGAACGGACCATTGTGATCTTCTAGTCTGACCTCCTGTGTAACACAGGCCACAGAACTTCCCCAAAATAATTCCTAGAGCAGAGCTTTTAGAAAAATATTCAGTCTTGATTTTAAAATTACCAGTGATGGAAAATCCACCACAATCCTTGGTAAATTGGTCCAGTGATTTATTACCCCTCACTGTTAAAAAATACACTTTATTTCCAGCCTGAATTTGTCCGGCTTTAACTTCCAGACACTGGATCTTGTTACAGATGAAGGTTGGGGAGGGGATTACACAAACAAGTGATTACACAGTGAAGTTAGCTGGTGTCCTGTTAATTCCATGATTTTTCACTATAGTGTGTTCTAGTTTTATTTGTTTATTTTCTCTAGTCTGTCTTATTAACAATTCTTTGAGGGAAAGACTAGGTTTATGGGCCTTTTGGAAGAAGTATCTCAAAAGGAGGGGCTTGAAGGAGATAGGGGTGGAGGCATGATGGATGAGGTCATGGGAGTTGGGAATTCCAGTTGTATGGGGCTGCATGGAAGAAGGCTCAAAGGGTATGTCTACATTGCAATAAAAGACTCATGGCTGACTCATGTCAGCTGAATCAGGCTCGCAGGGTTAGGCCTGTGGAGCTATAAAATTGCAATGTAGACGTTCAGGCTCGGGCTGGACACGTTTTTGGGACCCTGCAAGGGTCTTGGACGGGGTAGGAGTTGGCCCCTGAGTTTTACAGTCACTTTGTGCACTTGAATGGTGGAAATTAAGGAAATCCATTTCCAGACATGAAAGTAAAAATGTGGGTTTGATGGGGGATATTTTCTTTATTGTTAGTGTTTACATAGAAGGAATATATTTTGTATAATATGGCTAATTCAATATTACATTGGCTGACAAATGAGACTGAAATAGACCTAAAACAAAAAAATTATTTTTATTTTATGTGACATATTAAGACAAAAACTGTCAAAATTGGGGATAGTACCAATCTTCATATGTATATTATTTAGCTATTGTCAAAAATCTAATTCATTAGTGGGGAAACAAGAACAATGTTCTTTTTACCTTTTGGCTGATCATTTTTCTTATTTTTCTTCTGTAGTTTCTTCTCTTTGGTTCCTGACAGTTCTAAATAATTGCTATTGCCAGCTGATTCCAAATAGTCAGTGAGAAAATCATCAGAGTAGTTAACATGAGAACTTTCACTTTCACATTCTCTACTGCACCTACTATAATCATTAATTCTGCTACTACTGCTGCTTCTGGTGCTCTTACTGGTCCTAGGAGATTCATTACTGCCTCTGCTTCTTGTGTAGCTTTCTGACTTACTATCTTCTGGCACTATAATACGGAGGAAACAGTCATCTAGGGCCATCATTGTGTTGCTAGTAGAGGACATCGTAAATGGGTTCCATGACCTATCAGGAGTGGAATGTTTGTCAGTTTATACACATAAACATGAAAAAACATAGTATTTATTTGCCTGTTCAAAAGTATATTTTCTCCTTAAGTCTAATAGAAACAGACAATTGTGTGGGCTGAAATAAGGCAATAATTTAGGGCTCATCTTCACTGCAACAATTAGTTCAAGTTACGGTTGCCACCTTTGTAATATTTAAAAAACGGACACTCCAGCAGGAGAGCTAGAACCTCCCCTTCCTCATCCTTGCCCCACACCTTCCCCCTGAAGACCTGTCCCTGCCCAACCCCTTCCCCCCAGGCTTCATCCCTTCCCTGCCTCTTCCCCTGAGGTCCCACTCCTTCCCTGCCCCATCCCCCTGAGGAAGCACCCCCATTTGCTCCTCTTTCCCCTTCCCCCCCGTCACTTGCTGCTCTTCCCCTCTCTCCCCCACCTCTGCCCGGGTTGGGAGGTACTTGCCTGCAGAGCCGGGGCTGGGAGCTGCAATGCCCATAGAAGGCAGCCCCGGCTAAATAGTGGCTGGTGTAGGGTGATGACTCTGCGCCTCCCTGCCTCCCGACCCACAGTAACCGGACTTTGGGTGTCCAGTCAGTAGATCTGACCAGACATTGTCAGGTCCCCTTTTCAATAAGACTTTCTGATCAAAAACCGAGCACCTGGCCACTCTAGTTCAAGTTAGTACTCAGATTAATGCACTGGAGCTAGCCTAGCTCAAGTGCGACCACACTTCAAAACAAATGCCACCCGTCAGCCTCAAGGGGTAGGGAAACTTGATGGGGCCATCAGTGAAAGAGCTTACCCTGAGTTATGGGTTATATGGTAGGAGCCCTGTAACTCCCACACTGGAAACAATTAAATTGCTGGTACAGGAGAGTATATGTGATGGGCAGGTAGCACCCCTCCCCTGTATTTAAAATTTAATAAAAGTTGTGGCCTGCTACTTAAAATCCATCAATGTGTCTGTCCTCATTTCACCATTGTGTCCAACTCAACATTGGAGTTACAGAGTGATTTGTTTAGCAGCATAGAGTGACTGGAGAAGCTCTTGCTGAGTTGTAACTGGACCTGTTGTAACCCTACTACATTACTAGTTCGAGCATTAGAAGCACTGGAGCTTCAACTCCCCAGGGCATGGCTATTCTGTATCTGGAAGGGAGCCTCCCAGTCCAGGTCCACACACTCATGCTAGCAGGGCTCATGTTAGCATTCTAAAAATAGTTTTGTAGACGCTGCAGCTAGCCTGGAGTTTGGCCTCTGAAGCCTGGCAAGGGGCTTAAGAGCTCATGCTCCAGACTGAGCCACAATGTCAAAGCAATGTCTATACAGCTATTTCTATAGTGCTAGCACAAGCCCCGCAAGCATGAGTCTGTGGACCCGAGCCAGAAGGCTCATTCCCAGATGCAGTGTAGACATGCCCGGACAGGCCAGCTAGCTCAAGCTTTAAAACACCATCTACTTCCAGCTAGAGATTTTTGTGTGTGGATGGGAGTTGAGTTAGGGATAACGCTCGAGTTATAACTCAAGGCTAACTGTGCTGTGCAGACAAACCCTTAGATTCTAGAGAGAGAATACTATACATAATCTTTGTTATTTAAGAGCTTAACACCATATAGGCATATGTTCTCAGGAGTCTCAGAAGAGGGACAAAATTTAGTGTACCAGTCGGGGAGTTCATATTAAATAGTGAGGATAAAAAGAAATAATAAACTCTATTTTATTCAGAAAATAACATCAAACTAAGACATTTCCAGATGTATGAGTCCTTGACTTAGGTACATTTTCATGTGCTTTTGCCATATATTCAAAGAGGCGCAATTGCATTTGAAAATGTGTCCTTTCCTCCCTCCACTCGAGTTTTTGAGCAAAATGACCTGTGAATTTTGGTGAGTTTTTCAGAAAATAGGGCAATTTTCATATTGATAACAAGACAGAAAATACCTGAGGGTTTTTGTTTCTGAATATTTCACACACTTCTAGTTATTATTCACATGAGATCGGAACAACAAATCAGAGGCTGTGTAATTGCTTATTCACTGCATTTTACTTATTGGAGCTACTAGGAGTTAGCACAACAGATTAAGTTACGCTTTCAGCAGTGCCATTTTTAAATTGTGATTCTTCGAAGGACTGCTTCCTGTGTGGGGTTCACTCTGCCTCCTCTTCACATCATATGAAACCTGTCAGGGGAATTCACCCCTGTGCAGGGACCTCTCCTCTCTCCCCACAAGGGATACCCTAATGCATGGGATATTCTGGGAGCAGATGGGGTGGGAAGAGTGGCAGGGGCAGTACTTTGCCGCCGTGATTCTGGGCCACTGCAATGATCCATCAGGGATCAGAAATCATCTTTTAGCCTAGGTATTAGGCAAGGGTCTACATTCGAACACGGTTTACAAACTCCGTTTCAACCATCATTTGGCCCCAGGCATCCAAAAGCAGCAAAAATAGGGGTGAGGAGTGGGGAGAGGGGAGAGATTAATTATGGTTTGAAGACAGTCGAAAGAAAGAACAGGACAGCACAGCCTGGGTGAGGAGGGTGTTACCATATGGTTCAGTGGGTCCCCCAATCAGCCAGTCCAAGGCCCAGGGCACCACCAGGCCGCCTCAGTCTGAAGAACAAATGGGCTTAGGGCAGGAATGGGATGGAGTTAGAACCTGGGACACCACAAGCCCTACAAGGGATGGAGATGCTGCCAGGAAGGTCAACCTGGTTGAAGGGCCCCCTGGAGCTCCTCTGCACCTCTCTCCTGCACAGATAGAGACCCCCTTCCCTCCCCGCACTGTCCCCCCTACTCTCCTGCCCCCCCACAGGTAACCCCCCCCCCCCCCTTCCCATGCCCGCACTGTCCCCTCTACTCCCCTGCCCCCCCACAGGTAAGCCCCCCCTTCTCTCCCCGCACTGCCCCCCCACTCCCCTGCCCCCCCCCACCCCGCACAGGGAGGGGCTCTCATCCCCTCGTTACCTGGCTCTCTCCACTGCCCTAGCGGGAGAAGCTGTTTTCATTTCTTTGTTGCTATGGGAACGGGGCACTCTGGCGCTGTGCATCCTGGGGCTTGTAGTTCAGTGTTCTCAGTGGGGGGGTTGTTGCTTCAGCCGCCTTCGCCTTCCTATTTCTGCTCGATCCCTCCCACACGCTCTCTCCTCTCCTCGCCTTCGCACCCCCTCCCCCCCCCCCGCCCCTGCTTTCTATATTCGGGAATAAATGCGTTCTGTGGTGTTTGCCTTGCTGCCCCCTACACCAGTTATCAGAGCCCCCAATATCCACCCACAGGGGTTGAAAGGGGAAGGCCACCCCGGATCTATTTTACAGTGAACAGCAGCAGTGATCGCTCCTGTTGCTCGCTCCATCAGATCCATGTAATAACCCCCAATGTCTGATGCCTTAGAAACACACCAGGCTCTCTTCTCGCTACAATCCCAGCAGTGCTATTATGCTGTAGGGAGCCTATGACTGAGGAGTGAAACACACACAGCAAAATCCTCCCTTACAGGCTATCCCAAAGAGAGAGGAGGCAATAACACACCCAGCCTTATTCTCAAGCTCCAGAGAAAGGAGGGGCTGAAATGAAATTAATTGAGCATATTAGGATAAAAAATATTAATGAAAAATTTAAATAGATATTTTACTCATATAATTATAAACATTGAAACAATTTTCTTCAAACCTGGGAATAAAAAGAATTGTGCCCCACTGCATAAACCTTGAATATAACGTTTTAAATCAATAGAAATTTGGGCCAGATCCTGTTCAATGGGAGTTTCAGGTACAGAGTGCCTACAGGATCTTGCTCTTGATAGCTGGGTAATAAAAATGAGTAATGCACTGTTCATCATTTTGTCACAGTCCTGCAAGGTACTAAATGCCTTAATGGCCCCATCCTGTGAATACTGGTATGTTTAATAATTATTAGTGGCATGACTATTCATGATAGTTGGTACTATGACTTGTAGAAAATGATTACAGGATGAGACCCTTCATTTGTAATTCTGCAAAGCATTTTGAGGCCTGTAAAAGATGCTATTCAAATCAATAAATAAAAGTAATAGTTGAAAACTGGCTAAAATCTTTATTTTGTGATTTTTTAAATTTATTTTAATAAAGAAATCATAAAAATACAAAAAGGTAAATGACAGGTTTCAGAGTAACAGCCGTGTTAGTCTGTATTCGCAAAAAGAAAAGGAGTACTTGTGGCACCTTAGAGACTAACCAATTTATTTGAGCATGCTCAAATAAATTGGTTAGTCTCTAAGGTGCCACAAGTACTCCTTTTCTTTTTGAAAAAGGTAAATGACTCAGCTTGTATATGTTACCAGATATTGCACATTTTTGCAGGCTATCCAGTAGAATTATTCTGTTATACAACTTTACAGCTTGTCAGAGCTGCACAACCAGACAATATAAAACCAGATAAGAAAAGGAAAGAGGGGAGTGGAGGTGGGGCAGGATGGAGGGAAAAAAACAGAGAGGACAGATGCAATGGAAGTCTGGCATTATTTGAGCTATCTCAGCATTCGTTATCCAAATTTAACAAAAAACAGGGTCCAAGTTTCTTTGAATTCATATAATTGCTCTGCTCTAAAATAATTTTTGTTGCATTTAGTAAAAAAAAGTCTCCTGGGTAAATGCTTGTACGCTGAGTTTTAGCATGAAGTACGATTTTTTTTTGGCATAGTTTCTTTTTTTGTTGTTTTTTTAGAAAAATTGTCAGCGAAAGTTTTTTACTACCTGTCTTCACTACTTGTAAGACTGCCTCTCGCCTCCTTACTGGAGAAGCAGGTGACAGAGATTGAGAAATAGTGAACTTTATAAAGTGTCCATTCTGTTGACACTGTTGTTTGTTTGACATTCTGTTGTTTGTTTTCAATAAATTTCTTCAGAATTCCATTTCCATAAAGAGGGAAATAATTTTTCACACAACAGAGCAATGTATCTTTAAAATTATATAATGGTCCAAATAGGTAGTAAGTCATTTGCCAAGTGCAGTTCTTACTACTTACTATAAGTATAACTCTATTGGAGTCAATTATAGTTAGCATTATGTTCAGTGTTAAGCATTTGCAGGATTGGAGCCTTGAAGCCTTGAATCTTAAAGTTAAACATTTTAAAAAGTTTTGCAGAACTGAGGCCTAAATTCTTGAGGCCTAATTCACCTCTGGCATTAGGAGTCTCAATTCCATTGAAATCAATGGAGATGAGCCTACTTCACCAGTTGTGAATTTGGCCCTTACAGTTTAAAAATGTGATATTTCACATTCCTAAAATAAAGTTCATTCTGAAAGATCCCCAAAAGCTAAACAATATGTGTATTCAGCACCACTGACAGGCAGCCGTCTATGGGAGGAAAAGCAGCAATCACATGGAAAACCAGTGCCCTGTACTACTCAGAGAAGAGAATATTTTCACAAGGAAACCTGGCCCTACTTTTACAAAAAGTACCATGGGATCTTCATTGGCCACATAGAGTACAGAAAAACTTCTTTTTTAGTGTCTCATGCATAGAGTCATCCGCATGCCTCCCCCCCATCTTGCCCACCCCAAAATTAATTCACAATGACCTAACATATATAGTAAAGAGAAAATAGAGCCATAAAGTTTGGATCCTGATCTGAATTTCGCAAAGCCTCAGAGTGTTTGAAACTGCGGCTTTAGTTCAGGCTGATCTCAGAATTGTTGTTTCCAAATTGTTTTGTTTTTAAAGGTAGAGTTTGTGGGTGTTACTCTACGTATAAACTTCAAACTGAGGCTCCTTATTTTAGTCCAAGAGTGGGTGTGAGCTCTTGAATACAGGGGATTATTATGAAAATGCTGACATCCCTTTAAACTTTGTTCTGCAGCTTTGCAAACTCTTCCAACACTCTTTCCCCTCCCCTCCCCACCAGCATTTCCCTTGCCCTGTCTGATTGGTGCACCGCTCTCCCTTGCCTTTTATGGACTGTCACCGGGTCAATTCTAAAGTGAAGAGGCTAGGGGCAGGTGCAAGTCTCTCTGCTATAGATACTTTTGCCAACCAATCCTCTCCCAGCTTCTAGGCTCCCAAAATACCTAAAAGAGCCAATGAAGTTGGGAAAGCCCAGGATAACAGTGGGAGGGAGAGGCTAAAACTGGTTAGATTGATGTGGAGGGGAGATTCATTTGGGAAGGGATTCTGGCTGCCCTGGGAGCTGCTGCATGTCAGGCTCACTCTCAGGGCTCCGGTGACTTGTAGATAACAGGATTGTTCTGGTGGTTCTCTTCTATAACGGTCAAAATGGTGATCAAAGTCTTTGTAGCCACATCTTCTGGGTCTACAGCGGTAGGTTACTCATGTAATGTATGTTTCACCCCTACCCTCTCTCTATCAGGATCAGTATTTTTGTGAATTAACTGGAGTCTAAGTATGGGATATGTATGTATTAGTTACCAGGTGAGCCTGGGTCTGAATGGGAGGGAAACAGTGAGATGTCTCTAGTCTCATATCTAATAGCTAATTCTTGCAAGTGCCTCCACACATGGAGAATTATAGTTAATAAATGTGGGTTGTGTGTATTTAAATTCTTATTGCAATTAATATATTGATGTCTAAATATAATTTCAGTTAATAGACTGAAATCTCTTTGCAAATAATATATACAATAGGTGTATACAAAATAGGCTATTCTGTTGCCCATTGCCCTAAAAATATTGAGCTAGGTTGTTTGCAGCAGAAATTATATATAGTTACTTTTGATCAATACTTTGTGACTCTGCTAGGGTTTAATGCTGTTGCATAGTGGATATTGTTTCCAGGAATAAGCCAGAACCAAAGTGAAAAGAGTAAAATTGTTCCCAGTTATTCCTCCCCCCCCTTTTTTTTCCCTTTTTTTTTTGTCTCTTGAAAAGCTATATTGGAGATTTTAGTTTTGAACCTTGCTGCTGTAGCTGTCAGCACAACACGTTGGCTGAAGCAAAGGGCATGAGAAGAGAGAGCTGGAAATCCAGGGGAGGTGGGAACTGGGAAAGGACTATTTCCTTTTATATCCAGCTCCCAGAGGAGCTCAGATTGCAGCCCTGCTTTAGCAATCGCTCAATCACGGTGACACAGTAAACAAACTGGCTAGTGCATGCACATAACTGTAACTGCATCTCTACAGTTACACCGACACCACCTCCTTAAGAAACTTCCAGAGCAGAAGAGTTGAAAAGTACTGAAAAAGCTACCATTCTCTGGACGAGTCACTGTCGCTGGCAACTAAGTAGAGCCCCACTGATGCCTCAAAAGGATCATAACAGAGAAATGACAAAGCTCTTACTAACCTTGCTTAACACAGAGCTTTTCAGCTTGAAACACTTTTATTGTAGACTTTTTAGACCCATTTTACCAACCTTTTTTGTTTTTATATGAAAAAATGAGATGTAAAGTATGAGAACAGCGATAAGGAAAATACTGTTGGGTTGCTAATCTGTAGTCAAGCACAGATTATTTAAATGGCTGTATAAATTGCCATCTACCTTGCACAGATTTACTCTTTTCTGATTTTTGATCATTGAAGGAAAGTCATACCTAGCTATCTTTGTTCCCAATCAGCTGTCCTTGAGGAAAGGCTGCAAGCATGACTGAAGTCACTCTGCAGACTTTTTTTACGTGTGTGCAATGGCTATCATTTTGGTTATTCCCAAGAATTGAATATGTGAGACTAAAGCATGAGCCTCTGGACTAAGGCCCCAATTCCTTAAAACACTTAGGCACGTGCTTAAATCATTGCTGCCAATGAGACTACTCATGCTTAAAACTGCACGTTTCAGTGCTTTCCTGAATCAGAGCTACTGTATATTCACCTAGCTAGCATCTGTAGCAGATTCCTTTCTTCTATGGATAAGGCACTGAAATGAAAGGGACACATAACATGCCCTGAACAGTAGATTACATATGCTTATCATCCAGATGCATCAGTTTAAGCACTGCTAAAGCAATTTACTACTATTGCTAAGAAAGGTGATCAATGCCAGATGGATGTTATAAATTTTGCATTTTTTGAGCCCAATCTTCAGTCGTTGTTAGCTGTATATGAATATTATGCTTCTGAAATGTCAACACATTTTGGTTGACTTTTTTTTATTTTTTTTGTTAGTTGTGTAAAAATGGTTCAAGCACAACTTTAATTCTGCATTTCCTGGATTTCTAATGTTAGACAGGTGTGTTATGTTTATGCGTTGTTAAACACCACTGTTCTCAAAAGGTAACATACACTCAGACTATTGATATGGGCCTGCAAACTTAACTATTCCTTAACAAAATATTTTGCTTGAGTGATTTTCTAAGAAGTCATATTGTTCTTATTGTAGTATTACTATAGAGCAATAGGAATGGAAAGTGCCCTTTTTTATAAACTTTAAATATATATAGCATGAAACTCATCTCATACAGAGGGCCAGCACAAGGAACACACATTGCTTAAGTCCCACTTAAGCCTTATTTTGTAGCAGTCTTGTATTGTCCTTCTGTGAATTTTATCAATTCAGAATTTAAATTGTACTGGTATTACTGATGCAGCCTCCAGTTTGGCTGTTACTTCAAATGCTTCTTGTTTTGAAACAGAATAAAAACACGACTGGCCCAAACTCAAAAGGTGTAAGTCTGCGTAACTCAATTGTTGTATGTGGTGTTACAGTAGCTGTGTTGGTCCCAAGATATTAGAGAAACATGGTGGGTGAGGTAATATCTTTTACTGGACTAAATAAATTCTGTTGGTGAGAGAGACAGGCTTTCCAGCTGGACAGAGCAGAGCTCTTCCTCAGGTCTGGGAAAGGTGTCACAGCTAAATACAAGGCTGAACAGATAGGTTAGCATAAGTAGTTTGCACATATTTTAAAGGACAATTCAAGGTGAAGTGGTGTTAATGGGTGCTAACTGCTTATGCTAAAAGAAAAGGAGTACTTGTGGCACCTTAGAGACTAACCGTAAAGTGCTACAAGTACTCCTTTTCTTTTTGCGAATACAGACTAACACGGCTGTTACTCTGAAACCTGCTTATGCTAAATATTTATGTTCACCCTTGTATTTAGCTGTGATAATCTGAGTATCTTTCCCAGACCTGAGGAAGAGCTGTGTGTAGCCCAAAAGCTTGTTTCTCGCACCAACAGAAGCTGATCCAATACAAGATTTTACCGTGTCACCCGCCTTTTCTGTCTAGCTCAATTGTTGCTGTTTTAAAAATTACTCATATGGATCTTTATTTGCAATATGTTATTGACTTAGTAAAATATTTTCCCAAAGTGAGTCCAGTGAACCTGATTACATTTTGATGCCATAGACCAGATCCTCAGCTGGTGAAAATCAGTTAAGCTCTGGAGTGAAATCTATTGTATATATTTTTCCCTTACTAAATCTTTACATATTTTAAATACATTCTCTATTATAGATATCCTAATAGAAGCACTTAGTTGATGCAGAGCTATTCATTAAGGAAAGATGAAGATCAACACTTAATTTTAGCATCTAGATTTACCAGATGGTTGGCTTGAAAAAGTGATAACCATTGAAGTCATTTCCTAACTATCTCTTAAAGTGTTTAGAAATCCTGTAAGCTGATACATTTTCTTAAGAAGTACACTGCTGTATAATAAATAGAAAAGGGGGTTTCATTCTTAAGGAGAGAGAATACCATATCTCCTCCAATGTTCCTTACTGCCGTTCGTGGTTATGACACCTCCGAAATCTTTTTATGTCACTTTATAAGCTCTTGTTATATCTGACCTTTTTATGTGCTCACCTGCCTTCTAAGAATCAATTTGTAATTATAAAAGGAGATGAGTCAATGCACTTAGAAGTGCTCCTTGTGTCTACTGCCATGCAGAGTGCTTGCAGGATTGGGCCCATACCTTACATAGTCTCAGTAAGTCCAATCATTTCCCTTCATAATAAGAGTGGCAGAGGGTGGGGTTCCTCTCTGCTGATCATCCTAGTCCCACACAAAAAGGGTTTGCTACTGTGAACAGAATCCCAGGGGGGGCATCTGAGGTCCCTCAGTTACGGTGAACTGCGAAGAATGGGGCTGACTAACCTCAAAGCTGGTGGATATTTCAATACTTACATTTACCGAGCCAGCACAAAACAGCTTCTTTATTACCTCACTAGTTGCCCAGAAACCAACAACACAGTTCCCTTACAGTAACCCAGCCTCAGGCCTCCATCCAGGTACCCAAGTCAAATGTGATGAAGATTTCTGAAAGTCTTATTTCATCAATTCCAAAGGATCAGACACATTACCTTCCAGGTTAATGGATATTCCCGATCTTAACCAAATACATGCTTACAGCCAATTCTTATTAACTAAACTAAAATTATTAAAAAAGAAAAGAGACAGAGTATGGTTAAAAGATCAATATACCTACAGACATGAGTTCAATTCTTGAATTTCAGATACACAGCAGAGATGGTGAGCTTTGTAGTTGCAAAGAGTTCTTTTAGAATTTAGTCCATAGGTTATAGTCCAATGTCCAATATCATATTCAGGGTGTTTGCCAATGAACTGGGACCTCAGTCTTGCAACTCAAACCACCCCTGATGAAGCTTACGCAGATCTGAGATGTCAGGATCAGGACCCAAAGGTCTTTTATATAGTTTTGGTTGACCATACAGTCATAGGTAAACAATAGTCTTTTGATGTAACCTCTTGTTTCCTAAGCACCACCTGTAATTACAGGTTTCAGAGGAACAGCCGTGTTAGTCTGTATTCGCAAAAAGAAAAGGAGTACTTGTGGCACCTTAGAGACTAACCAATTTATTTGAGCATGAGCTTTCGTGAGCCACAGCTGTGGCTCACGAAAGCTCATGCTCAAATAAATTGGTTAGTCTCTAAGGTGCCACAAATACTCCTTTTCTTTTCACCTGTAATTAGTTACACAAATTAACATAGGGCAGTTTATCCATTAGGTAGTCTATTACAAACTTCAAAGAGAAATATAGACAATGACAGTATTTCACCCAAGATTCATCTAAATGTTAATATTCCCTTTTGATCTCTGAATTAATAGTTATAGTGACAGACAGGAACTGTCTGATTACATGGCTATCATCTAAGATACACACAATTAGTATCGCCTTTCATTCTTTAACAATAGAGGTTTGCATTTCAAAGTTCTAGCCTATCTAGCCTTGAAAGGCCTTAATTGTCATTTCTAACATGTCTCTACAGGCTGACTCTGGGTTAGTTAGCCTGCAAGATGCTTAATCCTTTCCAGCCATGTGTTACACTCTTTATAAGATTCGTTGCAAGTATATAACAGTGGTCACAATAATGATTTGCATGATTATATTTTAACTAGATAATTTCA